AAACATCGATGAGAGAGAAACATCGATCAGCTGCCTCCTGAATACCCCCCACCGGGGATGCGCCCACAACCAATGCACATGCCCTTGACCAGAATCGAACCCGGGACCCCTGAGTCCGCAGACTGATGCTCTACCACTGAGCCAAACCGGTTTCGGCACATGGCACAATTTATGCTTTAAAAATTTCACCAATATTATCATACTTCTAATTTAAAACAAAGTTTTTCACATATTTTGAAGATAAAAAAGTAGTATTCTACTATTTCCATTTGCTTACCTTATTTTTGTATTTTCTATTTAGTTTTTCATATTTTTACATCTCTAATGTGATCTATCTTACAAAGTCATGACTTATCATAGTTAAAATTGACAATCATTTTCTTTTTTATTGGTACATAAAATAAAAGTGTGTCTCAAAATTAATAGTATGCTAGATTCAACGATATTGAAAATATATTTTGTATGAATGCATAAATAAGGCAAAAAAAGAAAATTCATAACACGGACATGATGGCATGATACTGGCATAAAAAGAGATATATAGATCAATGGAACAGAAATAAACCCATGCCCTTATAGGCAATTAGTATTTGACAGAGGAGACAAAAACATACAATGGGCTAAAGATAGTCTCTTCAATAGATGGTGTTGGGAAAAATGGACAGATACATGCAAAAAAATGAAACTAGACCACCTTCTTACGCTGCATACAAGTAAAAACACAAAATTGATTAAAGACTTAAATGTTAGACTCAAAACTATAAAAATCCTGGAGGAAAACATAGGTAGTAAAATCTCAGACATTTCTTATAGCAATATTGTTTTCTGATATATCTCCTCAGGCAAGGGAAACAAAAGAAAAACAAAACAAATGGGACTATTATCAAACTAAAAAGTTTTGCAGAGCAAAGCAAACCATCAACAAAATGCAAAGACAATCCACTGAATGGAAGAACATATTTGTTGAAGCATCTGATAAGGTGTTACTATCCAAAATTTATAAAGAAGCCATATAATTCAACAGAAAAAAAATCCAGTTAAAAAAATGGGCAAAGAACCTGTATAGGCACTTCTCCGAAGAGGACACACAGATAGCCATAAACATATGAAAAGATGTTCAATGTCACTAATCAGAGAAAAGCAAATTAAAACTGCAATATCACCACATACCTGGCAGAATGGGTATCATCAATAAATCATCAAACAAGTCTTGGTGAAGATGTGAAAAAAAGAGAACCCTAGCACACTGTTGGTGAGAATGCAGACTGGTGCAGCCACTGTGGAAAGCAGTGTGGAGGTATCTCAAAAATTAAAAATGGAACTGCCTTATGACCTAGCAATTCCACTTCTGAAAATTAATCTTAATAAACCTGAAAAGGTAATTCAAAAGAATATATACACCCCTGTTCATTGCAGCACTAGTTACAATAGCCAAGATTTGGAATCAGCCCAACTACCCATCAGCAGATGAGTGGATAAAACAGCCATGGTAAATTTACACAATGGTAAAAAAGGGAGAAAATTTTACACTTTGTGACAGCATGGATGGACCAAGAGAACATTATGCTAAGTGAAATAAGGCAGTCAGAGAAAGACAAGTTACCATACAATTTCACTCATATGTGGAATTTAATAAACAAACTGAACTAACAAGCAGAATAGAGACAGACTCATAGATAGACAGGAGGCAGACAGTTCTGGTAGGTGGGGAGTGTTAGGGAGGTGGAGGGATTGAGAAAAAAAAAGAGAAAGAATTCATGACAAAGACAAAAGTGTGATGATTGTGGGGGGAGGGGTTTAAGGTTAAATGGGGAGATAAATGGTGATGGGGAAAATTGAAATTAATTAAAAAAACACACACACAACAAAAAAGTAAATAAAACAAATTTTTAAACAATTATTTTCCCGAGATTATGGAGTAATTATCTTTCATAATGTACATTTAGGTAACAAATATGAGAGAAAATGCATAGTATTTGTATTTGTGTGTGTGTGTGTGTGTGTGTGTGTGTGATGTTTGAATACATAGAAATTGAATAATAAACAAACATTAGAGAAGGAGAAGTGAATAGGATCAGGGCTTGAGGAGAATAGATAATTAAATTTTATTGGTAATATATTATTTCTACTTTTAAATGCTTCAATAAAGTAAGTAAAATTAATTTTTAGTGGAGAGCAGTACTTCTAATATTGCTACATACAGCATATCAAAATATCCTAGAAACTATTTTGCAAATAATTTTTAACAACCGGTTTTTGCAAAATGATCCCAGATTTCTAAGAGATTAGAAAAAGAAGAAGGCAAAGGACATTCTGAGTGCTAATGTTTCGCTCTGAGCCCTGGTGAATGAGAAATGGATTTAGGCTGGATTATCTTCTTAAAGTGAATTTTCTGAATTTCACAGTATTCCCATTGTGCATGCAATTCTTTTGTCAATCGGAGAAAACAACAACAACCACAACAAAAGGGAGGGGGGGTTATCCCCAAAAAATAAAGTCTGGAAATGACCAGACAGTCAAATTTACCTAGAAATTGATTGGGTCAAGATGGCAGACTGAGCATTAGTGAGCTTCTCTTATCCTACCACAAATCCCCTCTAATGACAGGAAAGGAAGGTTTCGGTAACTCCAGAAAGGCAAGGGGAAAAGAAAGGGCGAATTCCTCGAAGATGAAAAGCAGATGGGGCAGGGGCACCGAGGTGGGGGTGGGGGGAGGTGGGGGTGGGGAACCTGAGGGCTCCCAACTGGAGAGAGAGACGCTAGGTGGTAGGGTCTACCCAGGGGGGGTAGTGAGCTGGGCTGCTGGGGATTTGGTAAGGGGCGGGTCCAGGAACCCAGACGCGATTCCCAAGCCGGGGGCCCAGGTGGGCGTGTGAGAGCTGGGGGAGGGGAGCGCACGTTGTTTAGCAGGAAGGGGAGGCCTGGCAGGAAGCGGAGCCGCGGAGAGAGGGGAGGAGACAGCTGCTTCGGTAGCCGCTGGTGGGATCCCCAAGTGGCAGTGGGGCTGCCTACGAGTCAGGGGTCCGCTGGAGACACAGCTGCCATCCTCTTCGCCGGCCCCGCCGCCCTTTTAGACGCGCTCCTCCACCCCGGATCCTCCCCAACCAGCTCTTGCAAAAGCTCGGCGCCTGCAGATCCACTTTGCTCACAGGTTCACAGCCAGGTGTCCCCTATTTGGGCACGTGAAGCCCGCGATCCCCGGACGCGGGGAGGTGGGCACCGGACTAGAGAACTGGAGGTTGGGGGTTGGTTTGCTTCAGGCAAGACCATTGGGGTCCGTGCCAGGATGGGACAGGAGCCCAAGAAGAGGGACTTGGAGACTGGAGGTGGGAGGGGCGAGTGGAAAAACACCTGGTTCGTGTACAAAGGTGGCTAGAAAAGGAAATGAGTTCCTTGTGAGCACCCAGCGGGGAAAGTGCGAATGAATAGGAAAGAGATCAAGGAGAGAGACAGGAACCGCAGGCAGAAGGCGCGTCTTTATAGGAATTTAAGAGGGACAGAGTGTGCCCTAGCCTACTTGGCTCAGTAGATAGAGCTTTAGCCTGCGGACTGAAGAGTCCCAGGTTAGATTCCAGACGAGGACACGATTCCCCAGTTGGGGGGCATGCAGGGGACAGCCCATCAGTGATTCTCATAGTTGATGTTTCTCTCTCTCATTCTCCCTTCCTCTCTGAAACCAATAAAGAAATATATTTTAAAAAAACAAGGCACATGTGGACTACACTAGTAGAAAGGAAGAGATATGAGGTAGGAGAGCGTCTGAGAAATGGTGAATATTTGTGTGTGGTGTAAGGACTCTAGGCTAACAACAGAGGGGCAGGCATTATGCAAAGGAACCCTGTTGTTGGGCCATCAAAAAAGCAACCACCACCTCTCCGAAATTCCAGCACAGCCAAAGGAGCCTGGAGGGCGGGCTGATGCAGCCAAACATCCAGTACCATCTTGATAACCAGCATTCTTTTTTAAAAAATCTATTTTGTTGATTTTTTACAGATAGTAAGGGAGAGGGATACAGAGAAACCTTGATCAGCTGCCTTTTGCACACCCCCTAGTGGGGATGTGCCTGCAACCAAGGTACATGCCCTTGACCAGAATGGAGCCTGGGACCCTCCAGTCCGCAGGCAGATACTCTATCCACTGAGCCAAACCGGTTTTGGCCAGCATTCTTTTTAAAAGTATATTTTTAAATTGATTTAGAAAGGAAGGGAGAGAGATAGAAACATCAGTGATGAGACAATCACTGGCCAGCTGCCTCCTGCACAACACCTCCCTCCCCCCATCCAACCAACAACCCAGACATGTGCTCTTGACCTGAATCGAATGCAGGACCATTCAGTCTGCAGTACGATGCTCTATCCACTAAGCCAAACCAGCCAGGGCAGGGCAATACCCAGTATTCTTTTTTTAAAATATATATATATTATTGATCTTTCACAGAGAGAAAGGGAGAGGGATAAAGAGTTAGAAACATCAATGGGAGAGAAACATTGATCAGCTGCCTCCTGCACACCTCCCACAGGGGACGTGCCCGCAGCCAAGGTACATGCCCTTGACCGGAATCAAACCAGGGACCCTTCAGTCTGCAGGCCAACACTCTATCCACTGAGCCAAACCAGTTAGGGCTATACCCAGTATTTTTTAAAAAAATATATTTTATTGATTTTGTACAGAGAGGAAGGGAGAGAGATAGTTAGAAACATCGATGAGAGAGAGTCATCGATCAGCTGCCTCTTGCACACCCCCTACTGGAGATGTGCCCGCAACCAAGGTACATACCCTTGACCGGAATCGAACCCAGGACCTTTCAGTCCCCAAGCCGACGCTCTATCCATTGAGCCAAACCGGTTTCGGCTATACCCAATATTCTTGCTGGACGTATCTGAATAATTTGGGCAGCAATGTACCTGGTGCCCAGAAACTTTGTGATAGAGAAATTAATTCATGCTATAATACACTAAATGTTTCTTTCTAGCCTCCTCCCCCCCACCTCCTTTGCAGATATGAAGACCTCTCACAAAAAGGTACCTGCAGAGCAGGAAACCAGAGATGAAGTAAATCACCACACCAGATCCGCACATGTGAAGAAGAAAAAAACGTGTCATAAGAAGCAGAGGGGCAGACCTTCGTCCCAGCTCCGCAGGAGCCTCGTGGGCTGCAGGATCTCCCATGGGTGGAAGGAAGGCGACGAGCCCATCACCCAGTGGAAAGGGACTGTCCTGGACCAGGTGCCCATCAATCCCGCTCTGTACCTGGTCAAATACGATGGCATTGACTGTGTCTATGGACTGGAACTGTACAGGGATGAGAGAGTCTTGTCTCTTAAGGTTCTCTCAGACAGGGTGGCATCCTCTCAAGACACGGATGCAAACCTGGCCAGCTCCATCATTGGCAAAGCGGTGGAGCATCTGTTTGAGGGCGAGCAGGGCGCCAAGGATGAGTGGAGAGGGATGGTGTTGGCCCAAGCGCCCATCATGAAAGCGTGGTTCTACATCACCTATGAGAAAGATCCCGTCCTGTACATGTACCAGCTTCTGGATGACTACAAGGAAGGAGACCTCCGCATCATGCCAGATCCCAGCGAGTCTCCAGCAGAGAGAGAGCCAGAAGGAGTTATAGATGGCCTGATAGGCAAGCACGTGGAATATACCAAAGAAGATGGCTCCAAACGGATAGGCAAGGTTATTCACCAAGTGGAGGCCAAACCCTCTGTGTACTTCATCAAGTTTGAGGATGATTTCCATATCTATGTCTATGATTTGGTAAAAAGGTCCTGTTAGGGTATAATTTTTCACATTTGTGGAGGCAAATGTTTGATTTCGAGGCACACAAAAAAGTAGATTTTTGATGTATAGAAAGCTTTAGACTCCCTACCAACAAACATCATTGCCAGCATAACTGTTGTTTGTTCTGAAAAATACAAATGTGTGTGGACATGCCATGTGTGGAAGGACTTTATCATGTGGAGGAGACTGGGGGTATTGGGTGGATGGGGCGTGAAAGGAAGGGACAGCTGTAAATTCGGGGTGTGAATAAAGTTCAGCTAGCATCATCATCAGTCATCTAACAATGGCATAGGACTTAGCTGGCCTGCTCTGGGAAGGAGGGAGGAGAAGGGACCAGAGCTGGGCTGTGGGGGAGGGCAGAGGGGAGGTTGCTGCTGAGGAAGCAGTGGGGAGGGGCCAGAACTGGAGGGGCTTCCTGGGGGGAGGCTGTATGAGGAGGGGGAGGCCCCCAGCTGGGAGGAGATGAGAATAACAGAGGGAGAGGGAGATCTTGGGACTTAGAGGAAAGCAGACTGAAGAACTGGAGTGGAGAGGGCACAGAGAATCTCAGAAGAGGTCCAGAGCCAGGGGAGAAAGACAAAGTTGGCAGGGATTAGGGGAGAGGCTACAGGATACTCTAAGGTGGGACTAGGCCTGTGAGGACCAAAGGACCAGGGACACTGAAGAAAGAGGAATCCTAAGAAGAAAGCCTGCCCCAGGGAGAGATCCTACAGACAAAGAGGTGTGGGGAGTGGGCTGAGGGGAGAGGGGAGAGGGGAGACCCAGGAGCAACTTGCACTTCTGACAGGCCCACATTGCTGTCCCTGGCTCTGGGCACAGAGGATGTGGCAAAGGAGAAAAACCAAGTGGCTTGCAGGTTCCCTAGAAGGTATTTTGACAGGGATGACTCAAGAGTTAAGCAGAGCCAGGTTTAGATTGAGTTCATTTCAGGGACTTCATGCTACACTGCAAAGCAGGACCCCGGACCCTGGGCCTAAACATACATTGTGCATTCAGCCTCATTGCTCAGAGGACCTAGGTGCAACAGGTCTTGGACCTGAAGGTCTTGGTTCCTTTACCCTACACCAGTGGTCGGCAAACTCATTAGTCAACAGAGCCAAATATCAACAGTACAACGATTGAAATTTCTTTTGAGAAATTTCCAAATTTTTTAAACTTAAACTTCTTCTAATGCTACTTCTTCAAAATAGACTCACCCAGGCCGTGGTATTTTGTGGAAGAGCCACACTCAAGGGGCCAAAGGGGAGAGCAGTTGGGGGGAACCAGGCTTTCAGGGGAGGGCAGTTAGGGGCAACCAGGCCTGCAAGGGAGGACAGTTGGGGGCAATCAAGTCTGTAGGGGAGCACAATTAGGGGTGACCAGGAAAGCAGAGGAGGGAAGTTGGGTGTGCAGGAAAGGGCAGTTGCGGGGGGGGGGGGGGCAGGCCCTGAGGGGATAGTAGTTCCTGGGTGGGACCAGGCCAGTTAGGGGCAAACAGGCTGGCAGGGGAGCAGTTAGGCATCAATCAGGCTGGCAGGGGAGTGGTGAGGGGATGAACAGGCTGACAGGCAGAAGCAGTTAGGGGCAATCAGGAAGGCAGGTAGGCAAGCAGTTGAGAGTCAGCAGTCCTGGATTGTGAGAGGGATGTCCGGCTGCCCTAAGTGGGCAGTCCAACATCCCTTGAGGAGTCCCAGATTGGATAGGGTGCAGGCTTGGCTGAGGTACACCCCCCCATGCATGAATTTCATGCACCAGGCCTCTAGTACTATATAATTTGCTTAGTTATGTGTTTACTACAGTCCCAGTGCACAAAATGCTTGCATGGGGGGTTCTTAGCTCTGCCTGCACCCTCTCCAATTGGGGACATCCCTCTCATAATCTGGGACCACTGGCTCCTAATTGCTCACCTGCCTGCCTGCCTGATTGCCCCTAACTGCCTTCCCCTGCTTGCCTGGTTGCCCCCAACTGTCCTCCTCTGCTAGCCAATTTGGTTCTGATTGATCAGTTCTTATGCCAGGGTCAAAAGCTCCGCCTCCTAGGCAGCCATTGGCTGCCAACAGCACCCACCTCTGGTCCTGATTGGTCAGTTCCTATGCCAGTCAGCATCAAAAGCTTCATTTCCTAGACAGTCATTAGATCCCCACAGCACCCAACTTTTATTCTCATTGGTCAGTTGCTATGCCAGTCATTGTCAAAAGCTCCACCTCAGAGGAAGCCATTGGTTTCCCACAACACCCACCTTTGATTCTGAATTGTCATTTCCTATGCCAATCAGCATCAAAAGCTCCATCTCATAGGCAATCATTGATTGGCTCAACACAGCATCTAGATTTGGGTCTCCTTGGTCACTTTTATGCCAGTCATTGTCAAAATTTCCACCTCCTTGGAAGCCATTGGTTCCCCACAGTACCCGCCTGTGGTTCACATTCATTGGTTCCTATGCCAATTAGCGTCTGAAGCTCCACCTCTTAGGCAGCCATTGGTTCCCCAAAGCACTTATCTCTGGGTCTCATTGGTGGGTTCATCTGCCAGTCAACATCAGAAGCTCTGCCTGCTAGGAAGCCATTACCTCCCCATAACATTAGATTTGGGTCTCATCGGTCAGTTTCTATGCCAGTCAGTGTCAAAATATCCACCTCCTTGGAAGCCATTGGTTCCCCACAGCACCCACATGTGGGACTCATTGGTCAGTTCCTATGCCAGGCAGCATCCAAAGCTTTACTTCCTAGGCAGCCATTGGTTCCCCATAGCACCCACCTGTGGGTCTCATTGGTCAGTTCCTATGCCAGTTAGAATCCAACGCTCTGCCTCCTAGGCTGCTATTGGTTCCCCACAGCAACCACCTTTGGTTCTGATTGTTCCTTTCCAATGCTAGTTATCGTCATAAGCTTCTCCTTGGCAGCCATTGGATCCCCACAGCACACAACTTTGGTTCTGACTGGTCAGTTTCTATGCCAGTCAGCGTCAATTGCTCTGCCTCCTAGACAGCCATTGCTTCCCCACAGCAACTACTTGTGGTTCACATTGGTTGGTTCCTATGCCATTCAGTGTCTTAAGGTCCCCCTCCTAGGCAAAAATTAGTTCCCCACAGCCCCACCTGTGGGTCTCATTGGTCAGTTCGTAGGCCAGTCAGCATCCAAAGCTCTGAATCCATTGGTTCCCCACAGCAGCCAACTGTGGGTTTTATTGGACATTTCATATGCCAGTCAACTTTATAAGCTCCACCTCCTAGGCAGCCATTGGTTCTCCTCAGCACCCACCTGTGCTACTCATTGGTCAGGTCTCATGCCAGTCGGTGTCAAAAGCTCCTCCATCTAGACAGCCATTGGTTCCCCACATCATCAACCTTTGCTTTTTTTTTTTTTTTGAGGGACTGGTTTTTTATTTTAAAAAGATACTTGTTCAATTTTCAGTATCAAGGCAGTTGCATTATTGGTTTCTTTTTCTATCAATTGGCCCCACAAGGGACCACACCAAAGGAGAGTACATTTTAAGCCATTGAATTGCAGGATATGCACCTAACATACCTCAAGGAAACCACACTAAAAACGGGGCAAGCACCCGTATTTGGTTCTGATTGGTTGGTTTCTATGCCAGCCATCGTAAAAAGCTCCACCTCCTAGACATCTATTGGCTCCCCACAGCATGATCTTTGGATCTCATTGGTCATTTTCCATGCCAGTCAGCTTCAGAAGCTCCACCTCCTAGGCAGCCATTTGTTCCCACAGCACCCACCTGTGTTTCTGATTGCTCAATTCCAATGCCAGTCAGGGTCAGAAGCTCCACCTCCTGGGCACACATTGGTTCCCCACATTACCCACCTGTGGGACTCATAGGTCAGTTCCTGTGCCAGTCATTTTCAAAAGTTCCTCCTTCTAGACAGCCATTGGTTCCCCACAGCAGCCAACTGTGGATTTTATTGGTCGCTTCCTATGCCAGTCTGCTTCAGAAGCTCCAACTTCTAGGCAAACATTGGTTTCTCACAGCAGCCACCTGAGGTTCTCATTGGTTGGTTTCTATGGCAGTCAGTGTTAGAAGCTCCCCACTGCACACACCTGTGCTACTCATTGGTCGGTGCTTATGCCTGTCAACGTCAAAAGCTTTGCCTCCTATAAAACCATTGGCTCCCTGCTGCAGCCACCTGTGTTTCTGATTGGTCAGTTCCTATGCTATTTAGTGTCAAAAGCTCCTCCTCCTCGATAGCCATTGGTTCCCCACAGCACACACCAGTGAATTTTATTGGTCAGTTCTAATGCCAGTCTGCATCAAAAGCTCCTCCTAGACAGCCATTGGTTCCCCAGAGCACCCAGCTGTGGTTCTGATTGGTCAGTATCTATGTCAGACATCATCAAAAGCTCCGCCTCCTAGGCAGCTATTGGCTCCCCACAGCATCCGTATTTGTTTCTCATTGGTCAGTTCCTAGGCCAGTCATTGTCAAAAAATCCTTTTTCTAGACAGCCATTGGTACCCCACAGTACACACCTGTGTTTCTGATGGGTCCTATGCCAGTCAGTGTCAAAAGCTTTTCTTCCTAGAAAGCCATTGATTCGCTACAGCATCCACCTTTGGTTCTGATTGGTTGGTTTCAATGCCAGTCAGCATTGAAAGCTCCACTTCTTAGGCGGCCATTGGTTCCCCATAGCATCCGCTTGTGTTTCTGATTGGTCACTTCCAATGCCAGTTAGGTCAAAAGCTCCACATGCTATGCACACATTGGTTCCCCAAAGTACCCATCTGTGGCACTCATTGGTCAGTTCATATATCAGTCAGCATCCAAAGCCCTGCCTCCTAGGCAGCTATTGGCTGCCTATAGCATCCAAGTTTGGTTCTTAATGGTTGGTTTCTATGCCAGTCAATGTCACATGTTCCGCCTTCTAGGCAGCCATTGATTCCCCACATCACCCAGCTGTGGTTCTGATTGGTCAGTTCCCAAGCCAATCTGTGTCAAAAACTTCACGGGAGAGGGGGTGTCAAAGGTATATGTAAACAATAATAATTTAATTAAAAAATATATT